CACATCTAGAGCAAGCAGCAACTAGCGATTTTTTCAACTTATAGAAGACGCTTCAGTCTCAAAAGCCTAAATATTTTATCAAAAGCACCACAAATCCTGAATTTTTGCGCCATAGAACAGGGTAGTTCAAAAATGAACGCTTTTAGACAACCGCGTGCTAACTTTAACCATTCATAACATGTAATCGAGAGCAAATGGGCAATAACAATTTTCAGCATCTGCAAACGACACCCGATACGATTGATTCTAAAAGTTTCGTCAAAAAGCTCCAAAATCCTGACGTTTGCCAGCTTATTGAAAACCGGTTTCTCAATGGGACTTTTTTTGCGCTCAGTCCTTCCAAAATTTACATCTCCTAAACAAAAACACGGAGCAACTGGAAGTTTTCACCAATTTAAAAAAACAGTTGTCTCTAAAGATGCTGAAAGTTCCATAAAATCCAGTCAAAATCCTGATTTTTGCCGCCTTAGTAAATTTGGCTCAGATTAATTGGAAACGCTTATAATGTCCAAACCAGGAGGTTTTCCACCGATAAAATAGGTGAAAAAGTATAAAAGCCAGGCGATGGAAACAATCACCGATCAATTCTTAAACCCCAAGCGCAAGCCGTTTTTTTGTGTGTGGATGAACAGATGGCTTAATTATCCTCGATAAGATAAGGGAATCGATACGTCCATGTTTGCCTACTTGTGCACACGCAGTTTTCCTGCTAAAGAATATAAAAGTTATTTGAGGCACTTTGCCACTTTCTGTTGTTTAGCAGATCAAAAGAACGTACAGGTTGGCACAATCTCGTTATCTCCGCCTTTACTGTTATCCACATATGGCACCGATAACCATATTTGGGGATATTTAACTCAAATTACGCAGGAAAATAATTCGAACGATCTCACCGATTAACCAGTTTCTTAAAGGGCAATTTCGACCCTCTTCTAGTCCGCGGCCTTGACACAAAGTTCCCACAGGTAAAGCACCCGTAACCGTTTCCTTAAGGGCAAAAGACGTTAAATTCGAACAAAAGATCTCGTCAGCTGCCTTTTTGATTTGCCCTCCCTTATCCGTTTGCCTTCCCAGAGCGTCTCAAAGACGTTCCCTCAACGTCTTAGCGCATAAGGCACGCGTCTTTAACGAACTTTACCGCCAAATTACCAGGTTTCGGCACCCCAACCATCTGTTTATACAATCTTGGATCGTCAATCAATGAAAAGGTGTTTTAGCTTCAAGACGTTTGTGCAAACAGGCACGGGGCTCAATGAAACCGTTGTTAAAAGGGAAAATAATGAAAAATCCACGTCTAAAAGAAGTCCATTAAACTATTAGACCTTGCGGTTGCAGGATGATGCTCTTTTGCCCGGAGCTGAACATAAACATGCGTGCTTATTACGGCAGTTCATGGAACAAAGCAGGACTTTCATTTGCTTGTTTCCATATAGGGCCCGTTTGTTTGCAGCTTTTCAAATGAAAACTGCCGGAAAAGTTTTTATCGTGTTGTTTGAAGTGCACATGTAGCTGATTTCCTTTTTTTGCACAGTGTAATTAATCAGTTGGCTCAAAAATTCCAAAAGGCAACCCTTGGGAACGGTTTGAATAAATTAAAAAAATGGATGAACTGTGAAAAGACCGATTATTAGACCATGGAACTTTAAATGACACAATTGACTAGAAGTTATGGAAGATGGAATCAGCACCTTATGATTGAGACAGTCCTAATTTCTTATCGGTAGTAAGTGACGACTTGAAATGTATGCAACCGATCGCCAAGATTCTGAAAAGTGTATTCAAATCCCACATTCGAAACTGCACCTTATGTTTTAAAAAATCGTAACTTGCGAACTAAAAAAAGTAGAATCTAGAAATTTACTGGCAGGGTAGCACATACATAACTCTATAAAGTGTGCAAATTTCATTTAAATCGCAATAAAATCTGATTTTTTGTGGCTTGGAAAACGGAGTCTAAAACAAGAGTTTTTGCCCAATTGCTTCCGCAGCTTGAAACGTCGCTACCTTCCCACTCTGACCAGCTAATAACTTGAAATTGTCACAGTTTATAGACGATGCTTTAGCCTGCAGCGACTTAAAATTTCATTGGAATGTTGCAGAATTCTCATTTTTGCCAATTTAGTAAACATAAACGTTAAAAATTCATAATCTGGAGCAGGTAGCGACCTGAAATTTGCCTCACTCATAGCCGATACTTGACCCCAACAATCCGGGAAATTTCATATCAATGGCTTTGGTCTCCGATTTTTGGGGCCTTAGTAAATTTTATGCAAGAAAAAGCTCTTCACTATGTTGTAAAAAATATTTACTCATAATACTACGCAAGTAGCGACTTGAAATTTGAAATTCAAATCAATTCAAATATTGAATAAGTCTGAAAAACAGTTTGGTCAAAATTAATTTGGGACTTGTCGACTCAGCACATTTCGAGTTATAAAATTGTCTATATTAGTAGATGATTATATAAATTTATTTATTATTATTATTTCTTTAATGAGAGGTGTATTTATTTCTTTAGTATGTTTACGTCAAAGTGATATAAAAATATTAATTGCTTATTCTTCTGTTTCTCATATAGGTTTAGTTTTAAGAGGTATTTTAACTATGAGATCTTGAGGAGTTTGAGGGGCTTTAATATTGGCTCATGGTTTAAGATGTTCAGGTTTATTTTACTTAACTTATCTTTATTATGATTTTTACTATGTTCTTCTAGTATAGCTGCTCCTCCTTCTTTAAACTTATTAGGTGAAATTCTATTAATTAATTCTCTAGTTTCTTATAACTTAATTTTAATATTAATTTTATTTTTTTTCGTTTTTTATAGAGCAGTTTATTCTTTATTCTAGTATAGCCCAAAAATAATCGCTGCCACGCAAATGCATCGTCTGCTCGAAGCAAGCTGAGCTTATTACACTTCATAGAAGATAGGTAGATACTCTTAGAACTCTGAAAGCTCTTTTCGAATAGCGTTAAATCGTGAATTTAGGCACCTTAGAAAATTGGGAATCCAAAAATGCACTTCTACCGATACCTTAATTTTTTTTGCATAAAAGATTCAGTTTGCCAGTAATTTACAGTAAAACKTTGGGAAAAACGCGRTTTTTCTGTTTAGAGRCAGAGTTGTTTAAAAATATTGCCCTAAAAGTGAAGGAACCTCAGTTTCCAACAGTTTTCCAAATGCATAAATTATTATAAACTTTCGCTTTTCTGTTCGGGGAAATATTTTTGGAAAAACATCCAGAAATAATTTTTACGAGTTTGTCCATAATTTGAAGCTGCAAAACGTTTGCCAAAAATGTTTGCAAAGCGGTTAAGGAGGCGAGTGTTCCAAAAAAATGTATCTTATAATTTTTCATACAAAATACCTGGAGATTGTCAGTATTTTAAGTAAAGCTAAAAAATAATGCGATTTTTGCGTAGAAACCATTGTTTAATGGAAACTTTGTTTAAACTGGAATTACCTGAAAAATTAAAAGAACTTTACAAATCTTTAGAGCGGTGAGGGCGGCGAATTTTGCAAAATAACTTTTGCTCTGGTTGTTTTTTCAAGATACTCCTAATTACTATCGGTAAAACACTGAATAAGATTATTTGGTTTGCGAATAGCTCTTTTCGAATAGCGTTAAATCCTGAATTTAGGCACCTTAGAAAATTGGGAATCCAAAAGTGCACTTCTAGACACAACCGCACTCTTGCCAGAAACAATTTTCAACTTGCTCTGCAAGCAGCAACTTAAAAGCAAAAATAATCGGCAAAAACTCACCGAAAATTGGAGAACCATTTCACCAGTTGGGCCGTGTTGTTCTTGTTGAACTTGATGTCGGGAAAATACATCTTGAGAACAGCCGAGCTCGGATACCGCACCCAAAAGAACATCAGTTTCGCTTTTCGCAGGTGCATCGGCGTTAATGTCGACGAGTGATCAGGAGTTAAGGAAATATTTGGCTAAAGTGGAAAGAGAAAAGATCGTTGTACTAAACTACATTGTTTGGAACCGTCGGAAACTGGCATTGTGCAAGTCCAGCAGTGGACCCGAATCGGGCGATTTTGCCGGCCACCATTTGATTTGAGCCAGTTTCGTTCGGTTCAGCTGGAGGAGTTTAACCCGACATTGAGGCATCATTTCTAATTCCTTCATCAAAGGATAATTTGTGGTTGAATTTTCTTTAATATTTTTCACGTGGCGAGTCTCACGGTATTTTTTCTTCAATTGAATGGGAGGAGCTGTTGGGAAAGTTTCGACGTCAGATGTCGGCAGCTTTCAGCGCCAAAGAAAGCGCTCTTTGTGAATGCTTAATGCCGGACATTTGATGCGTTATTACGCCCTAATAGTAGAGAATGGTCCGGCGAAGTTTTTAAGTTATAAAATCCAGCTAGTTGATCGCATGTAAGTGTAATTCAGTCAGTTGTGCAACTTCGTACGGATTCCCCGATAAAGGATTCCATGTCGATAAAACTTAACCCGCGACCGACACTTAAGGGTGCGGTTTCAATAGGAAGACCCACACACGTTAGAACCGAATAAGATTAAATTAGAAATGATGCTTCACTGCGACGGGCCAATAATAGAAACAAAAGTCAATACTTAACGTACATGCTGAGAAGAAGTATGGTAATTTTTAGCGTAGTCAGCTTTGCATAAAAAGGATATAGTAGGTTGCATTCCGTCGTATGAGATGTCTCCCGAGTTGCAGTCCGAGTTGCGGTCGCCATTGTCCATGTTGAGGCCACCGGAAGGCGCTCGCATGTGCGAGTAGTCGGGCGAGCCGCCGTGCTGGGCGGCCGCCAAAAGGGCGGGATGCAACAGCGTGGGCGGGTGATGAACTGGGGGCGACTCTCTCTCCATTTTGTGCATGCGAGGTGGTGAGGAGGAGGCCTGGAAACAGACGAAAACACCCTCATTCCCTGCGAAATCACCAAATTCCGGCCAAGCATCAAACACCAAATAGTTAATGAAATAATAAAAATATGAAACTTTCGCTTTCATCGTACAACAACGGATTCCATTCGAATCGTCCGACATTGGAAATTGGGTCGAAAGCGAAAGTGGCGATATTTATACCAGAAAATGATTTTTAAAACTGGCTGATATCAATGAAATAAATATTATTTAAATAGCGCGATATTAATGTGCAAAAGTGAATTGGGAATTGCATTATAAAACAATATAAAATAAATAATTTGTCGCAAAAATATATATGGGCGAATATTTAATTTTCATATTTATTGTACGCAACGCACAGTGTCAACAAGTCGCTCGTAATTGTTTCAAATTTATCCGATTCCACTGATTTGACCGACACTTTATTTGTCCTTAATTATTTGCACATTTTCCAATTAAATAACCCATGCTTATTTAAAAAATTTCTGGTTCATATCCAAAGTTTTAGCGGCTGGAGTCTTGCACTATTTGACACAGACTTGATCAGAAATCACACATATTTTCCATTTATGAACCAGATTATTCTTTAGATTCGCACAGATCATCTAAAGGAAACCAAGTACGAATGCAGTTTTTTGCGTTTTTTGTTGATGCCAGAATCTTTAACTATTGAAAAACGGGAATTCGATCGGCGTAAAAACAAAAGCCACTTTTTTATTGCCGACGTCTTGAAACATTTGCTCACGTTCGAACTTGCATCATTTGCTCTGTTGGTAGTGTGTATAAGGATTCCTTAGAAAATTTTCATAAGTAAACACATAAGAAAATACTGTAAAAGTGAGTATTAGGCTTGGGTAACACTGTGTTAAGTTGCACTATTGAGTTGTTGCCGCAGTCTGAGTCAACGAGTTATAACTCATCGGTTAATGAGTTATTTATTGAAGCTGTGCGAGACCCGAGACTGGAAATTGCACATCTATAAAAAAGCCATTTTTTCTGAGTAACGTTTTACTACTTTGTTCAAACAACTAAAAAAGAGTAATCTAGATTCTCCCAGTCACAAAAGTGAGCCCAAAGAAAGTCGACGAGTTTTCTCTTAATTTTTTTGCATAAAAGATTCAGTTCGCCAGTAATTTACAGTAAAACGTTGGGAAAAACGCGGTTTTTCTGTTTAGAGACAAAGTTGTTTAAAAATATTGCCCTAAAAGTGAAGGAACCTCAGTTTTCAACAGTTTTCCAAATACATGCATTATTATAGACTTCCGCTTTTTCAGTTTGGGAAAATATTTTTGACAAAACACCCAGAAATAATTATTACGGTTTTCTCAATAATTCTAAGCTGCAAAAAATTTTCCAAACAACTTTGCAAAGCGGTTAAGAAGGCGAGTGTTCCAAAAAAATTATCTTATAATTCTGTAACAGAACTGAGTCCAACGAAAGTCGACGAGTTTTCTTGTAAAACCGATATCTTAATTTTTTTTGCATAAAAGATTCAGTTTGCCAGTAATTTACAGTAAAACGCTGTGAAAAACGGGGTTTTTCTGTTTAGAGACAGAGTTGTTTAGAAATATTGCCCTAAAAGTGAAGGAACCTCAGTTTCCAACGGTTTACCAAATACAGAAATTATTATAAACTTTCGCTTTTCTGTTCGGGGAAATATTTTTGGAAAAACATCCAGAAATAATTTTTACGAGTTTGTCCATAATTTGAAGCTGCAAAAAGTTTGCCAAAAATGTTTGCAAAGCGGTTAAGGAGGCGAGTGTTCCAAAAAAATGTATCTTATAATTTTTCATATAAAATACCTGGAGATTGTCAGTATTTTAAGTAAAGCTAAAAAATAATGCGATTTTTGCGTAGAAGCCATTGTTTAATAGAAACTTTGTTTAAACTGGAATTACCTGAAAAATTAAAGGAACTTTACAAATCTTTAGAGCGGTGAGGGCGGCGAATTTTGCAAAATAACTTTGGCTCTGGTTGTTTTTTCAAGATACTCCTAATTACTATCGGTAAAACACTGAATACAATTATTTAGTTTGCGTGCCAAATTCGAAGATGAAATGGGTTTTCCAAAGTTCCGTTCACGGTTAGTTTAGAGGGGTTTAGGGTTGCGCAGCACTGCGCCAACCCTAAAGATTCACTGAGTTACCCAGGCCCAGTGAGTATGAGGTTGATTAACTAGAATATTTCCTTCGTATGATAATCTGTCACCGTTTGAAGTGTGCAATTATCGAAAAATTTCAGCGGTAATTGCACAGTGTGCAATTATCAATCAACGATAATTGCGTTGTTTACGAAAAATATTTCACAGGTGTCTTTTCATGTTGAATTAGACCTAAGATATTCAAATTATATTTAATAAACATCGTGCATCAAAATAAACAGATAATTTTGCATTCGAGCTTGTTGTCTTGTAAAAAATGCATTCGTTTATTTTCATATGGGAAGGAAAAAGCCCTCCTCCTTCGGAGTCGGGCGTTTTCGCCACAATATGAAAAGAAACTCATGCAGCTTTTAGACAACAAGCTTTCATGCAAAATTATCGGTAATTTTGAAGCACTTGTGCAATTACCCCCGAAAATTTGGCTTAGATTTAAAATTCTCCCATTAAAGTTAAAATTAAGTTTGGTATGTTTTTCGAATCAAAGTTACTGACCTGCATTGCCATGTGGTGGCCATGGCTTGGTCCATGGAAGAAGGGGCTGTAGGGTGAGAAAACCTGCGATTCGTGCAGGCCTGGATTGGGGATCGCCACCGACGTAGGAAGGGAGACTGGTAACATCGGTGGCGGCTGGTGATATGGGGGAGGCCGTGGAGAGGGGCATGTAGGGGCGCTGCCGCCACTTTGATCCATGGAGGCGGGGGACATCCCCATGCCCCCGTCTTGTCCCAGGATTCGGCTCACGGTGCGTGGCGTGATCCGGGTGTCCGTCACCTTGAAGGGCAGAAAATCCTGAATTATTTATTAAAACTGTTTTCACTGGGGCCCTTTTCAATATGCACGTTCGCTTTAAGGTTGGCGGCAATTCTGTGACGCTGAAGCCTTGAGTACCGCCAACCTCAAAGCGGGTGCTCAGAAGAAGCAAAGACTCTTACCTTATGGCGTTTCTTCTTCGGTGCCACCACCAAGCTAAGCGCCTCGTTCTGTTCGGGAGTATCCTGTTTCTGTACACAAAACGGATGGTTCATGCCATAAAGAGGCGCCTGACTAATGCCGTGGGGCGGCTTTGGGGGCTGAAACATTGGAGGTCGAATATGATGATCTGACGATTTGGGCATCGAACTGTGCATACTATGAACGGGCATTAAATGGGGGCCCGCATTTCCATTTACCATGTGATTTTGGTTGGGGGGCGGCGGCGCTTGCGACCGCTCCGCCACTTTCGTCCGCGGCGATTTCCTGTCCAGCAGCTGGGACGCCATCAGCAGGTCTTTGTTGAGCTGCTCGGCCGCGTTGGCCGCGTCCTGCTGCTTGCACCGTTTCTGGTGCACGAACCTCGAGAGGATCGAGTCGATTAAGTTGGATAGCGAGGCGGAGATTTCCGTTTTGAGCACATCGGCCAGCCCTTCGAGGTCGCTCCCTGTGGGCGTCGTAATGTTTCGCATCAGCTGCAGCCGTTCGGAGACATGCTCCGACTTGGGCGTGCTCTGCTGCATGGGCTGCGGCTGTTGCGCCTGCTGCTGCACCTCGTTGCTCATCGCCGCAGCGGCCGCCTCTTTGGCCATCCGGGCTTCCTGCTCCATCAGCAGCTTGTGGCCCAAGTACATGGCGGCTGCGTTGTTCATGTGATGGGGCGCGTGCAGCAGGCCGTTGTGGAACGGCCCGTGGGGGCCTGGCGGTCCCAGCTTCATCTTGCTTACCTCTTGCACTAGAGAGGGTGTCACTTGAGTGGGGGTTGGAGGGGACGTGGTGGTCACAGGGGAGGCCGCAGGCGATCGCTTGGGGCTGTGCTCACTGTCACTGGGGATCTCCTCGATCTCCTGGCTCTCCTCCGAGCCTTGCTCCACTCTGGTGCACAACTGCATGTACTTCTGCTGCATCTCAGCCAGCTGCTCCTGCATGGTTCTCAGCTGCGACTTGAGCAGGTTTTTCTCCACCCGCTTTTGCTTGATGGGTTCGGTTTCCTCCTCCTCGTCGTCGATATATCGGTCGGCGTTGCTGTCGTGCTGTTGCGGTTGGTAGAGTTTTCGCTTCTTGCAGCCGTTCACCTGCGGGGGGGCCGGACTGGACCTCATGCCCGACACGATGTTCTCCACTCGCGCCTTCTTGGCATCCTCCGGCTTCNGGCCGGCTCCACTTTGGGCGAGGGCAGCGAGTTGGTTTCCATTCCATTAATCGCGTCCTCCATCAGCTCGGCTTGCTGCCGATTGTCCACTCCAGCTTCAGCTAGACACTCCTTCATAGCGACAGCGGCGTCCGCAGCTTCATTCCGCTCGGGACTAACCTTTGGATCGTTGTTGTTGTTGTTAATGATGTGGTCCTGGGCGTTGCGCATGTCGTGCTCAAGGGCGAGCAGCTCGTGCTTGCGCCCCTGCAGGATGTCTCGCAGCATGTGATGCGCGAGAGCCTCCCCCGAAGGAGGACTGCCGTCACACCGAATCACCGAGTCCTCACTTTCGCCTCCGCTCTCCGACTTTTGGCGGGCCAGAAGCTCGTTCAGCATTTTTGCGGGTGCAAACCCCGGTCCGAAGAGACCGAACTGTTGGTGTTGGGTGAAAATGGCGCCGTATAAATTTCCACTGCTACCAAGAAAATTCGGACGCGAACTGAAGTTCGGGATCGAAGAGTACGAGTTACGCGGCTCGCCGGCGTCCACGCGTTGTCTGGTTCTTTTAGTTTTCTTCAAGAGCTTATCTGTGTACAAGCCAAACTCTGTCTCCTCCTCCGATGACATCATAGGTTGGGGCGTTATTGGTCGTCCAGGTGCCCCCTCCAGAAAGCCGAGTCCCCACTTTAAGAATACTTGCCCATGTCAATACCTGAAACGGAACAAAAGCGTCTCGTCACGGCTTCTGGCGAAAGGCGAGAGCTCGTTTTTGCGTTTTTCGATCACCTGCCTTTGCCGTCGACACAACTGTTGATGCTGCTCGAGCGCACACATGCGATGCGGCTCGCGCCAGCCCCACAACGTGTCCAAAGCGTCGGCTAATGATCCACGTTTGGACGCATTTTATGCTGGTAAATACCTTCTAATCCCCTTTACTTTTCCCAAAACTACCACTTCTTAATGCACTCGTCTGCCCTGCACAGGAGACCTGCGGATGCGACAGGACGTCGTATCCGCAAAAACAAAGTTTTCAGACATTAACCAATTTGTAAATTATAAATTAAAATCAAATCCTGGGTTCTTCAGTCATTTATTGTCTATTTATCAATTAA